ATGAACTCACAGCCACCGCTTCCAAGCCATCATCAACCTAAACTTAAGTTATACACTAGGTAGAGGTGGAAAAATCTAATTCGACATGTTAACCCAACATCAACTCGACCCTTAAAAAGCGGGTTAAGGTCAACTACTATTGAACCCGTGACCTATTCAGGTTGACTCGAACGAATCACGGGTCATACATGGGTCAACCTACAAGTTCATGGGTTGACCCATTTGACTTATTTATTTTTAAAAATATTTTTATTAGGTAATTTTAAGGTAAAATAGCTTACAAATATAATTTTAAAAAAATCTAAAATAACATTAGAATTTAGAAAACTAAATTATAATGCACCATTTTTCAAAAAAGTAGGGAAAAAATATATATATTCATTACTAAAAAAATATATTCCCAATGAATCTAATGAATATATTTTGCAATAATGAATATATTTATCTAATGTAGTTTAAAATAAATAACTTAGATGAATATTTTTTTTTTCATTTTAAGTAAGATTTTTTGTTTGATTAAAAAATAGACTTTAAGAAGCATCGTTTTCCTTTTATGATTGATGTCGATTATCCAAATTTATGATGGTAATTTTTATTTGTTTAAAAAATAACTTATCTTAGATTGTATCATATTAATTATGGATTTATGTACGTGTTCAAGGGGTCACTTGTATTCTAAACAATACTAATTTTTTTGGAAAAAAATAAAAACAAATATGATAATTGAGATTTAAAAATATACTTATTTTATAATATTTAGTTCAAAATTACTTTCATTTAATTTTAATAAATCAATATAAAAAATGTAACTAATTGTATAAAATAACAAAAGAGATTTAACCCGTGGGTTAACTCGTGATCCATTAAGGCCGAGTTAGGGTTAGCACTTCTTGACCCACAACCTACATATGACCCAATCCGTAGAACCCATGACCCAAGTAGACCCAACCCGCCTGTTTGCCACCTCTAGCACTAGGGCTTCCAATTAACCCTCTTGGGTTGCAAATTTGTAGCATCCCTCCTGGCTTGTGTGCATAGACTGGGCTCACAATAACCTTTCCAAATTAAGTTGTGTACAAGTGAGCTCACAACAACCACTCTTGGGTTGCACATACAATTTGAGTATGTGCTCTAATGCCAAGTAAACATTTAATCTAAAACTAATTGTTAATAAAGTAGTTTACATTGTATTTATTATGGTGTGAGAAATCTAGTGTGTTTGGTAAGAGAATTTTTTTCATTTTCCATTATTCTTTCCTTCTCCATTTCATACTCATTAGAAAGTAGAAACTTTCAAAAAAATGATTGGCAAATGGAAATGATTTCATTTTATGACCAAATATTTATATATAATATTTAGTCCCTTAATTTTTATAAATTTAAAAAATCACTCTTAATTTTTTTTCTTTGTTACAATTAACAACAGTAACCTAAAGTCATATAATCGTAGCAAGTTAGGATTTGCAGAGAACTTGATTTCAAATATCAAAAAAATAAATAAATAAATAAAAACTCAGACCTACTTAGCAAATTGGATCATATGGCAATTAAACATCCTTAATTCTGTCAAATTCTCAATAATTGTGAGACTTTAAGAAACAAGCCCCATGGCTATAGAACCTACATATGAAGCTTACTAAAGAACCAAGGATGACAAACCACACTGTGGTGGGTTTTTATGAGAAATCAGGATTTAGTGTCAGGATCACAGTGTCTTTGTCCAACTCGCCTTTGTTTTCCCAGACTCTACTAGCACTTCTTGTCCCTCAAAAGCTCTTGAAGAAGTTGGAAACTGAAAACATAGCAACCAAAATCAATGACCATGTGAATTTCTTCACCTACTAGGGTCAAGTTTGTTGCTGCTTCTCTATTGGAAACCGACGAGCACAATTTTTGGATTGTAAGGTTCGTTCCTCTATTTTGTAATTCTAGTATACTTTTTTTTTTACCATCTTTAACTTTTCTTGATGATACAAACTCATCATCCGTTGGCTTTAAGCAGGTTTCAACATATTGTAAATGCTTCCAAAGGAAAACAAATCCTTTTGTTTCTTGATTAAGATGGCACCCTCTCACTGATCGTCGAGGATTTGGACAGAGCTTTTATAACCAACGAGATTTGTTCTCTGTTGCATCCCTCTCTCCTCTGCAACATTCTTCCATATCCCTTTCTAACATCTCCCCTAAATCAGATAAGAGAAGCTATAAGAGACATCACCCAATATTTCCCAAATTAGAAAGAGAGTTGCCAACAGCAAGTTCCCTAATCGAACAGAAAGCCAGTTGATAACTTTCTTTTCTAAGAAATAGGAGATCCCAAATGGTTGATAACAAGTTCTAATGGGTGATGCTAGAGGAAACTACCAACGAGAGGAAGCCATTGGAGAGAGGGTTGAAGCCATCTAGAGAGGATAAGGCAGTTATGAAGTTGTAGATCGAGGGTTTCATCGGATATTAAGTCTTATGTAGGTGGTAAATTTTAATGACTAACAATTTTAACCCATATATTTCTATTTGTCTTAATGTCCCTTCATGCGTAACTTTTTTTTTTCCTTTCAATTGAGGACCTTTGTGTTTTCTATTTTGGAGAAAAACTTTTGAGTGTTTTCCGTTTTCCTATATTTTCCTTTTCCCTTTCCTTTCCCCGGAAAATGATTTTCATTTTTAAATACCAAATAACTTCTCTACTCGTTTTCCATTTTTATTAGAAAATGGAGATGAAAAACAACATTGTTTTCTAATGCCAAACACACCCTTATATTTCTTATGGGCACATCATCCTACAAAAACCCATACAGCTTCTATGTAACTGAATTAGTTAGTCGTTCCACAACTACTTGCAATGCCTTTTGTTTCATCTTGTGTCTAATTTCATTTTGTGAATTCTTGAACTTGTACAAGTACTATTTTACACGATCTTGTTCCCATGAAAATGAACACTCTCTTTAGGAAGCTATGGAGTCACAACCGCTTGTGCACTCTAACCTCACAAAAGCATCAATTGCATCCGGGTCCAATTTAATGGACATATGTTTTGCAACTTAGATTTTAAGAAAAAAACAAACTTGAAATTCATGCCAATCATAACTCGTATGCACAATTCTATTAATTTAGATGAAACAAGGTAGATGATAAATGCTACTATTTGTAGAATATGTTTCTAGAAATTGATGATAACCTGCCTAACTCATTATCATAAATTGAAATCGAAAACCCAAAGGCTTACTTAAGAGGGGGTGAATTGCGTATTGAAATAAAATCTAAAAAACTTTTAGATTTCTACTCAAGTTTTTGTTTTAGTTAAGCAATGAAAAATCACACAAACAATATAAAAATAAAAAATAAAAAATGTAAGAAAAAAGAGATCAAACCATAATGTATAGTGGTTCATCCATCTTAGGGTACATCTACTCCCTCAAACCTCCTCGCTTAAGAGTTCAATCCGCTAGTTCCTCTTACTTACAAGTACAAAATTAAATCGGTACAAACCTTTGCTTGTGGATACAAAATTAAACCCTCACATCTAGTTTTTGGGTGTTAGAAACCATTTACAAGTGAGATATCTCTCAACTTCACTCACCAATCCAAAAATCAAATTCCAATTCAAGGAGAAATAAAACCCTTTATGTAAACAAAGAAAACCCCCAAAGAAATCTTTCAAGAAAGGGGTTCAATTAATCTCACAAAACTTCTAGCAAAGCCTAGAAAAAGACTATATCTTCTTAAGAATTCAAATGACGCAACTCTATTGTTTTTTCAGGTCTAGAATATTTGAGAATTTATTTTGCTCTCCTAGATTTGAAATGGCAAAAGTTGTTGATAGGAAGATGCAGTCACTTGCCTTTTCAATGAGTCTTTTTGTTGTCCATGGCCTAAAAGTTGTTGCAATAAATCTCCACTGTATTCTTTATCTTTTCAATTTAAATCTCAAATAATTTGCCTTGGAAAAAAGGAATTGACTTGCTAAATATGCTCAATAAATTCACCACTCGCTGAAATGTCAAAAATATCCCTTCCAAATCTTTTGATTCGAACTCGGAAATACTGATCTGAACACTTTCGGAAATATTTTGAATTTTATTTTGTGGGATTGGTTTGAATCAATTTATATTAATTTGAATCTAAAACTTTGATTAAGGAGAATAAAAGCTTGATAAGCTTTGATTCTAATCATGAAAAAAAGATTAAAACCCTTCAATTAGATTACTTGTACACTTAAAACAGAACTCATTGAATAGTATGCTTTTAGCACATCATTAAAATTCATCAATGAACCGAACAGAAACAATCACACGATACTTCTTTTCGAAGTGTTATAGTGACATTTTTCAGAAGAATCACGAATGAGAATTTCTCGTATTCTTTTATTTGATTTATGATATCTTGGCTTAAGTGAAAAGAATTCCATTTTCCTGCCAAAATTGAGAATTAAGACTTGGAATCTTATAAAATCAAAGTAGAAACGTATTTCACTTAATAACAAAATTACCCGAATTGGACTCTCCATTGCTTCTTCAGCCTTTCTAGGTATGTAGTGAAATTGTGCTTCTAAGGTTCATTTGCTTCGTGCTATGGAAGCACCTTCCATTCTTACACATGCTTAGCTTTCAACACACCCTTGTCCAATTATGTGGTAGCACTCTTGTTTCAACACTTTCTAAGTGACTAGTTCACCTGGCAGGATAATTTACTTAAAATTTAAAATCTCCTACATGTTAACCAACAATAGAGAAATACCTACAACGTATGCCAATCACACAAAGAGTTGAAAAAAGAGTGCAAAGATGTGTTGAAAGAAAAGTGCAAAAGAGTGTTGCTAACTCTTGATGAGAGCAGTGTTGTCCATAAAGAAGTGCTTAAATTTTTTTTTTCATCAAAGTTTAGGTACTTAATTTATGATTCAGCCATACCTATACAAAGATCATGCCTTCCAAAAGAAATTACCCATGCAAAATTTCAATTCTACAATTACCATCCTCATAAGAAATAAGAAAGTAGTAGAAAGTAGTAGCCATTTATTCATTCTGATGAACCATTAAGCATCCCTTTTCCACTTGATGTTTAATCAAATTTGTACCATTCTAAAAGCAAAACTGCATGTACATAATGAATCCGTCTAGAATGAATACTGAGGCTTCTAAAGTAGTAAAATAGCTAGAGTAATTTTGAAGATATTAAATAGAACCATTGAATTCTTCCCATTTGATTTCATCATTTTCAATTGTGTGGACTCACTTCTTTGCCTTCGCAAACCTTAGGCATCGATATTTTTCACCACTTACAGTGATTTCAAGAGCTCCATCTTGGTTATCTTGGTTTGATGCAGTTCCCATTAGGACACTTTTTTCTTTCTCAAGGTTTTCTTTCTCAATCTTCAGCCTGGCCTCTTGCCGAGCAATCTCTGCCTGAAAGATGAGAAGAATCCTTCAGACAAAACATAACAGAAATAGTAGAGGAACAGAACTACTAACGAACAGGAAAATCAGCTGACTGAAAGAAGCAATTTTAGAGGCCAATACATACACATGTCACAAGTTCATTTTCCTTTCCACTTGTTCTCATCAATGTGTGTATATATATATATATATATATTTAAAATCAAGAACAGACCACAAAAGTGCTATCAAAGGCACCATGAAGAATGCTTCATCATTAAATTACAATAACAGGTGCAATAACACCTCAACAGAAAAACATGTCACAGTTCACAAGTTTAATTTCATTTTCATTTGCTTGCATGAATGAATATCTACTTAAAATCAAGCACAAACCACAAAATGCTAACACAAGCACCATGAAGACCACCTCATTATATGGTCTAATAACGGGGACAGGAATGTTATAGCTGTCTGGCTTTCCTGAAAATGTAAATAAACAGTTGGGGAGTTTAAGGAAAAACAAAAGAAAAGTTTACCTTAGATCAGACGAAAATAAATCAAAAAAGATTTCTCTATCAAGAATAACTTTTTTGTAACAGATAACAAGAATAATTTCAAGTTTGATGTTTCTTTGTTTCTTGACTTAAATCAAAGCAGAGATTGTCATGCATATCTCTTCACAGACAATGGGAAATAACATCTATTTTCTGAATTCTAATAACAAAAATAAGAGAAATGAGGAAACACAAAAACATATGTGTGCAATCATAAAATGTGCCTGCATTGAAGGTTATCCAGGTGCAAGCCTCAGTGAAAATTTCACAGCCAACAAACACATCCCATTCAGCAAGGAATTTGGTACACAACTCTATTATTATGTTACCTGAGTTTCCAATTATACTTCTCTAATTGGTTCCTAACTAATGTAAAGTATAACAAGAAGATTACACCAAAGATACAATGATACATGACAAGAAAATAACCACATAGCAACTACAACATTTGAACCAGGAACCCAATTCAGACTGGTAGTACCAATCAACCAAATTTGACTATCAGAGGCCAAAGTAGGTTAAAGATCCTGTGTCAGACATAGAAGTTTCAAGAGCTTTAATTTAACAGCTAAAATAGATTAAACTGAAAATAAACAAAAAATAAGCATAGCAAGAAAAAAAGAAAGAAAGTCAATGAAAAACATAAAAAGTGAGAAAATTTGTTAAGTAGCAGCATTCTCCAGCAAATCAGGACATCCTTATATGCATGCTTTTTTACTAGAGTGTGACCTTATGCTCATGAAGGATGCACCAATAACCATATCAATGGATGCCCACATTTGAAGAATAATATAACTATCAGTCTATCATTGACCATACACTGTTGTAACTGAGATGAAGTACATCTATACCATTTCCTTTTTAAGAAAATATTAAAAAGAAAAAAGGCAGTAACAATTGCTAACACGATAACATAGAGAACCTAGCCAATATGGCCCCTATTTGTTGAAGAAACAAGTTAACCCACCAAACCAGGTCAGACATCAGGCAAGAGTTTAAGAACTTCAGATGATACCCAGTTTCGAGAAATAAATAAAAAAAAAGGGAAACAGAAAAGTAAAAATGACATTAATTTCCTCCCCATGCAAGTTTCAATTGACCACAGAACCCGTTATCAAGGTGAAGCATCCAAGTGGCAGAGCACAACCAATAACAAAAACAAAACTATTGTACTTCAAATCTTCCACAGCTTTTAGGAAACTGTAGCTTCCAATGGTGTGAAAGAGTCCACTAATTCTAGGTGCGTGAAAAAAATACAATAAACGGCAGCAATACCTCAACACAAAACGAAAAGGTTGGGTGAGGGTAGATGAAGAAAAAACTGCCATTTGTTCTGTGTCTTTTAATACTAAATGTCAAGCCATGACAAGCGAGATTTATTAGTCATGGGATGCATTCAGCAAAACTGCCAAAATTAATTGGAAGTTGAAACTATTCGTTTGATACATCAACGACTTTTGCATCAACAAGAGCATCATAACAGCCAATGTACCCACTGACTTAAAAACCCTAATTTGGGTCAAGTTCAGGATTCAAACCCCTACAATGTCATGAAGCCGATGAAACAAATATATATATATATATATATATATATAACACCTCTACAAAATGATTATACTTTCCAATCCACCACCATAACAACCCAACATTTAAAATTCCTCCAACAAGGTAGTTACTTTATCAACAAAATTCACATTTTATAACTAAAAGAGTCATATTCCGCATCAAATGCAGAACCAGTAGTAAATTAAAAGGCAAGAATGAAAAAGCAAAGAATAAAACCCGACCTCGCGCCGGGAGAGCTCAGCTTTCCAGGCCGCTTCCCGCTCGGCGACCTCGCGCTCGCGCTCCTCAATATAACTCTGCATCTCCCTCTCCTTCATTATCCTATCCTGTATGTCCGCTTCCAACGCCTCCTTCAACTCTTCCACGAACTTATCCACCACCACCTTTATCCTCGACGACATCTCTTCCCCTCAGAACTCGATTCCGACCCAGTACTAACTAATTGTCACCGGAAACCTCTTTCTCGCGGAATCAATAAAAAATCACAGAGGAAGCGTCTGAAATTCCATCGTTCTGAAAAAAATTGGAACCTAATACCCTCTCAACCCGTTCCGTCCAATAGTGAGGCGAATGAATCGAAGTAGAGAGACGGTGGAAGAAGAAAGGAAGAAGGGGTATAATATGAATCCACAAACAGAAATGTGTTTTTCAATGAGGAGTGCATTTTTTTTCTTTAATGGTGTTTCAATATTAAATTTATCAAAATATTATTAATAAAATGAGTATTAGTTAATAACTTAGTATTA